TTGAATCGAAAACCTATGAATCGTGAATCGAATCGATTCGCATTTACCTAGCCTTATCGCCAAATGACTACAGCCCCATTGACTCCCTCTGCCAATGCATTGATTAAATTAACAGTTAGATGTGCCAGAACTTTCTTCAGTTAAACAAGATTTGGAAACAAAGATGAATTTCTCAAGGTGAATGCATACCTTGACTCTAGGGATCTAACAACTAAAATTCAAGTCAGGAATCTTGGTGTGATTCTGGAGACAGACCTTAGTTTCAGTAGTCATGTCAAAGCAGTAACTAAATCAGCATACTATAATCTCAAAAACATTGCAAGAATTAGATGTTTTGTTTCCAGTCAAGACTTGTTCATGCCTTTATCACCAGCAGGGTGGACTATTGTAATGGTCTCCTCACCGGCTTTCCCAAGAAGACCATTAGACAGCTGCAGCTCATCCAGAACGCTGCTGCCAGAATTCTGACTAGAACCAGAAAATCTGAGCATATCACACCAGTCCTCAGGTCCTTACACTGGCTTCCAGTTATATTTAGGATTGATTTTAAAGTACTTTTACTCGTTTATAAATCACTCAATGGCCTAGGACCTAAATAAATAGCAGATATGTTCACTGAATATAAACCTAACAGACCACTCAGATCATTAGGATCGAGTCAGTTCGAAATACCAAGGGTTCACACAAAACAAAGGGAGTCTGCTTTTAGTTATTATGCCGCCCGCAGTTGGAATTAGCTTTCAGAAGAGATCAGATGTGCTAAAACATTAGTCACATTTAAATGCAGACTCAAAACTCACCTGTTTAGCTGTGCATTTATTGAATGAGCACTGTGCAATGTCCGAACTGATTGCACTATATTTTATGTATAATCAGTTTCTATTCTTAACTGTTTTAAATTCATTTTAAACCTCTTAAAAACATTTTAAAATCATTTTCAAAGTTTTTAAATTCCTTGTTTTATTGTTATGATTATTTTTTTATTATTTTCTTTTCTTTTACGTAAAGCACTTTGAATTACAATTGTGTATGAAATGTGCTATATAAATAAACTTGCCTTGCCTTGATGCCTCAGACTTTTGGACCCCACTATACTGTATGTCATGATTCAATACGTTGTGATGAACCATGATATAATAATCTGAAATGTCACTTTTGTCCTTGACATGATTATTGGATGTCAGAAGTAGGTTTGTTTTATTAGGTATGAAACCAATTTTTTTTTTCTGACATTTACATTACATTTCCAGTCGATTGTTATGACTGGATAAGCATGGTTTTAAGTGGTTTTTATTCAGCCCAACTCGCTAAATAACCATTCAGACCAATTTGCGAACCAATTTGACTCTTATAATAAAATGACTCATGATTTACTGAATTTAAACTTAATTTACTAAATGATTCAATAATTTACTCATAAATCATTATGACTTGTGAGCAAATATTAGAGCAAAGCACAACTACATAGAAAAATATACATTACTTTTCCACAGTTCTGGGGTCAGAAATGTATTTTTTTAAACAAGGATGCATTAAATTAATTTACTTTTTACATTGTTACAAACAAATTCATATAAATTTCATACAAAAACAAAATCATATAAATGCAGTTCTTTTTCCTAAAATGGTATTAAGCAGCACAACTGTTTTCAACATTAATAATAATAAGAAATATTATTTGAGCAACAAATTACCATATCATTAGAATAATTTATAAAGGATCAAGTGACACTGAAGTCTGGAGTAATAGCTGTTAAAAATTCAGCTTTGCTATTACAAGAATAAATTACATTTTAAAATATATTATAATAGAAAATAGTTGTTTTAAATTGAAATAATAGTTCACAATATTACAGTTTTTACTTTATCTAATAAATGCAGCCTTGGTGAGTGTAAAAAAAAACGAGTTCTTCTATCCTGTAAGATTTTCCTTCAAAATGCAAAGCTATGATTCTGTAAGGTTAAAAAATATAATTTGTGTTCATGTACTGCCTGAGATGTGATGGAACATACCTTGTGGGGTTGGGTGTAGAGCAGATGGGCATCCTCGGGGACTGGAGCAGTGAAGGGATGGTGGGCAGACTCAAGCATCTCTGGATCGTCCTCTTTGGGTAAGAAGAGGGGAAAGTCCACCACCCACAAGAAGTGAAAGACAGATGGGTCACGAACTGGCACGCCATAGCACTCAAGCAGTTCCACGCACTGCAGTCTCAGCTTCCCCAACAGAAGGCGCTAAAACATGAAACATTCTATTAGCGAAAAATAAAGCACTACAAGAAATCATTAGGACAGAAAGAGTAAATGGTTTCGGACTCAAACCTGCAACACCCACAATGGCTTAAATTAACCTCTATCTTTTGAAGAGAGTTTTATGTGATTTTGTCATTTTTTTAAATATATTTTTATATAACTTAAATTTAGTTTCTAATTTCAGTTTATTTTAGTGCTTCAACTTCTACTCATTTCAGTTAATTGCCAAGGCAACATTTCTAATTTGTATTTGTTTTTTTTATCTATAAATCACCTATATCTATTGTTTTCCATCTATATTTATGTTTCAGTTTTATTTCAATTACCAAAAATGATTTTTAACAGTTTTACTTAATGACAACAGTTTTTTTGGGTAACACTTCCAGGGGTGTGTCTACGTGGTGGCCAGGGGTGGCACCGGCCCCCCCTGAAATTTGGCTGGCCACCCCAGGTGTCCCCCCTACCAGATGTCTTGCCATAGGCTTGTTTTTAGTAAATTTCTAATTTTAGGCGGTTTCTATAGTGTGATCTTAATGACAATGTCGAGAGCGCATAATGTTACGCGATCCATGTGCGCGAGGACGAATCTCTCCACTCCCAAGCAGATTTCCTTCACTCACACAAAACTGGACGTGTGCTTTTAACATACATCGTTCCGCAAACACAAGGACATTCAGGAAACAGGACACACATTCACAATGTCCTGTTTCAGGACATTCAGGATTTCCTTAGAAAAGACACATTCTGAGAATCTAGATCACTGGAGAATAACTTCTAACCTCGGATTAGTCATTTTAAAAATTAGAAAAATCTGAACTACAACTCTGATTTTAGTTAATTCATGGAACAGCTAAAAATGAGACCACAAGAGGCTTTTACAATGCATGTATTTGAGGGCAGGGACATGCAAATGAATTCCTAAGTCTCTAAAACTATATTTGAGGAGAAAGATCTCCCCCAGCTCTCATTTCTCCCAGTTTCTGCACTAGCAACATCCCCATTCATCCCACAACCTCAGCTCACAAAGCTCGCCAGTTATCCCCAGCCATCTCCCACATCTCTGCTTTGTGACTAAACAGCCGTCTTACTTTGTGCCAAGCTCACCATCTGCACCAGCTCCGAGCGAGAGCCGAAGCACGGAAAAGATGAATATTCTTTTAAAAGTGATTAGATCATGTCAGCATTTTTCTGAAGACATATTTTCCAAAAACCCTTAGTTATCAATCACTGTAGGGCATAAAAACTGATGGGAAGGTACTTGAGGACATTAAATAGGGATGCTGGGCATTGAATTATCTTCTCCAACCCAAAATGGCTTCATGTACTTGTGGTCTAACTGTAGTTTTATGTAGACATTTGCTCACTGAGCTCTCATGATGTGTTTATGAGATTGAATCAGCATGAGTATATGAATCTGTGTGGATGCGGAACAAAATGCAGGCGGATATGCACCACGTTCTCCAAGGGTCCGGCTGTGATGAAGATCAGGTCTCCAGCATTGGCGTGGGCCATCTGGAGCAGCTGCTGTTTGGCCGTGTCCGAAAGCAGCCGGCTGAGAGGGGATTTCAGTGAACCATCTGCCCTTACTGGAGCCACACTCACCTCCTGTACGACACACGGTGCAAACACAGCAATGATCATCCATTTCCTCCACCGGCCCAAATTCAATTTCTATTGACAGCATAGGGCACAAACTCTTGATCAATCATCAGTCTCGAGAACACTGCGGGCTGGTTTCCCAGACACAAACGAAGCCAAGACCTGGACTAAAACGGATAGCAATGGAGAATCACCTTTGACGGTGCCAAAAACACTAGCTCAAAGTTCACTTTCCATTTATAAATGCAGACAGAAGACAATATAGAGTGTTTGGTAGGGCTGGGTATCGTTCAAAAATTTCCGATATCGATACCGATACCTTGACTTCGATACCGGTTCCTGAATTATATTTTTTTTCGATACCACTTTTATGAAATCAATTTTAACAAGATTACATTATCTAAAAAAAAAAACTTTGGTTTTATTTTTCAGCTTGTTGATGCTTATACAAACTCAAAGACTCATCTCCTGGGCCACTGCACAAAAGGAACAAAATGTAACCAACACAATAAATCAGTGCAAATAGTTTTAATAAAGCTCAAATAGTCTTCAGTTTACACATCTGTTAGGCTACATTTACACGAGTGTGTGTTCGTTTTAAAACGCATAGCTCAGACAGAATCATGATTTCTATTTATTTTCCACTGATTTACTGATGAGCATTAGCAGCTTCCAGCGCTGTCTGCCTGTGTTCTTTCTTCCATGATCGCTGCTCTGACTCAAGAGTCAGAGGTAATAACATATTTAATTTCAGCAACATTACATGGCCAAAACACACATTAGACGGCAATTGGAAGTTATTACAAACACTCGATGGTGGTTTAAAGTGAGTTTTGAGTAAAAGCGGAATATAAATCTTATTTATTGTCTTATGTAGCATGATGCTACAGTTTGCATGAATGGTCACATAACACGTGCTTTCGGTCATGTAACGTTAGTATGAACAGATATCTGCATATGATTGGAACTCCATGCAGCTCCCGTCATTTTCATTTTAAAACATAAACGCACCAGTGTAAATGTAGCCTTACATCTAAGGGGGCTGCCTGGGACACATTCACATTACAGCCTCATGTGTGCACCACATCTCTGAGTGTAACTGGTGTAAACTAGTAGGTGTGTTCGACTTGACGTGGACTGACTGTGCAGACCGATCGGTGTATTACAGTACCACGAGCTATTGAGAGCAGACTGCTCCGTACGCTTTCGAATCGCTCTCGCGGATGTCAAACACTGATCGATCTGCGCCGCACCTCTTCTAGTCGAACACACCGGCTAGTGCAGCAGGCTTATTGGCTCAATGACGCTGATGAGATTAACCCCTTGGGTAATGAAATTTGGTACCGAACGACGAGACGTTTTTCGATACTCGATGTTATCGATGCATTTCGGTCGGTGCCTAAAAAGTATCGAACTCGATACCCAGCCCTAGTGTTTGGAGTGGGAAAACTAAGCAGAACAGTCAGCTATCAGAAGTGTTGAAGAACATTTGTATTTTTTTAGATTTATTTTTGGCATTTTTAATTTTATTGGAAATAGTGGTTAAACGGATCGTAGTTGATCCGTGATCCGTACGGACAACAATTCTGGCTGCTATGGGCTCAGTGCTAAAATCTTTTCTACAGATAACCAAATTACAAGCAATTAGTGGTTAAACCGATCGTAGTTGATCCGTGATCCGTATGGACCAAGCCCCACGGTTCGGCACGCATGTGATCCGCGGATTAATTGCAAAATTTAACCATAATAGAGTATAAGTTTATAATTTGTTCGTATTTACACAAGCAACCGAATTTTAAACAATTCCAGAGAGAAAAGGCGAAAGGGAACTCGATTCGTTACTCTCGCGCTGTTCTCTCAGCCGCACACACATGAAGCGCGCACACGCATTTCAGACGGCACGCAAACACCGAACTGAATCCTCTTCTGAATCCTCTGAACAGACACATACACATAAAATTATGACAAAATACCCATCTCGACAATCATTCAGGTAAACGCAGTCAGTTATGTCTCAAGTGAATGAAAACAGCTGAGAAAGAAATTGGATGTGATGTGTATCATTATATCGGATCCGTGCATCAGGTCTTAAAGGGACAGTGGCCTATAAATACTGCTGCTGTCATTAATGATCATCAAACAACAAAACAGCTGTGATAAAAATCTATATTTAATTTATACAGTGAACACTCTGCAGTGTTATTTTCCCTAATTATTACATTTCTGTATTTGAATACTACCAACCTTTTTATTTGTAACATATTCTGTTGTATTTATCTATGCTTGTAATTTGTGTATTTGTTCTTATTTTTACTGGCTGTTCTCTTGTCTCTTTAATCATGTTTAAACTTTCTTAGTTAATCTAGTAGTATTTGCTGTGGTATCAAAGAAGTACTTCGCTTTAAGTAATAAATGGAAAGCAAGTTAAATTTAAATATTTTTCTTTTCTTGCTGATCCGAAAAATGATCCGATCCGTGGGTCAAAAACCGTAATGTGATCCGAACCGTGAGATTTGTGATCCGTTGAACCACTAATTGAGGAACATTAAAAAATTATGTTCTTGACATTAACAAGAAACCATTATTAAAACAACGTTGCCCTTTTGACTGGACTGATTTAGTTTTTCAGTAAAAAAAAAAAAGTGAACAAAATATACCTTTTAGAATGTTAAATCAAATAAACACTTTATGGTTAGTGTTAAAGGTGCAGTGTGTAAATTTTAGCGGCATCTAGCGGTGAGGTTGCGAATTGCAACCAACGGCTCAGTCCCCCGCTCACCCCTCCCTTTAGAGAAGCTACGGTGGCCGATACAGGACTAAGATGTCGTCGGTAAAGACAGCAGAGAGCAATGAGATTTCTTTACAAAGGTAAATTAAGGAATTATATTTACTTCCTTATTTAATAAATCGATGTTATTGCGAATATTAATGTACTTGTTCATCATTGTGTCAGTGTTTTATTCGCATGAACAACAAAGTGACGAAACGCGCTGTGTACAGCAGTTTGTCCGTTTAGGGCTACTGTAGAAACATGGTGGCGACTTCCATGTAAGGGGACCCCCGGTGTATGTAGATAGAAATTGCTCAATCTAAGGTAATAAAAACATAACGGTTAATTAAGTAAGGTCTTTATACACATCTGAAAACATAGTTATGTATATTATATTGCATTTCTGTCAATAGATCGATGTAAATATTACACATTGCACCTTTAACTTATCAGTTCTTTTGTCTTTGGGTCGTTATATTTCTCACAGATTTCTGCTCGTTCTAAATCAGATACAGATAAAGTAATACAGTAAAGATTACATTAATATGAATGCATTAGTGAGACAGCGATTGCGTGTGTGAATTAATTCTACCTGGCACTGCTGGCAGCATCTCTCTACTAGTAGTGAAGCTGTGGAATTTACTAGTTATTAAGAAATTTATGCTTGAACTTTTCAGTTTCTAAGCTATTTTATTGAAAAATCACAGAACAGTGTTGACAATACATTTCCGCGCTGAATGATTCTGTGCGCGTGATGTACGCGCTACTGTCTATAGCCTATGTGTTTGCGTTACAGTGCAGCAGCGCATTAGATTAGAACGACGATTAACTTACCTGTACAATAAGCTGTTTAAAACGTGCATTCTCTCGTTCAATTTCGAGCATCCAGTAATATAATAAAATGCGCTTTCAGAGTATGCATTTATTTGTAATTTGAACTGTTTGGAAACGGAGCGTAAATGTGGAATTCCTTCAAAGATTTCTAATCTGTTGCGCCCTCTATAGGACCAGCGACTAGTCGACGTCAAGCTGAAAGCGTCATGGCAGAGCACTGAAGTCGACTAGTCGATTAGTCGGTGCAACCCCTAGTATGTAGATATAAATTGCTCAATCTAAGGTAATAAAAACATAACGGTTCATTAAGTAAGGTCTTTATACACCTCTGAAAACAAAGTTATGTATATTATATTGCATTTCTGTCAATAGATCGATGTAAATATTACACATTGCACCTTTAAGGTAAATAATGCTTAAAAAAAATGTGGTAACATTTCATTGACATTGATTGATTTTTCTGTTAAGTACTACTGGCAAAACTACACTGATTTACATTTCACAAGCCAAAAAGTACAAATAACACTGTAAGCTGTAAGCTATGTTTGATTCACTAAAAAGAACCAGCTAATTAGGGTCATTCATTATGAGGTTTGACTACACTGGTCATGCTGTATGTTTTTTTTTTTGATTCACCAAAAACAAACAACTCATAAGAATCAGTTGTTCAGGAGTCGGACTACACTGATTGTGCTATATGTTTTTTATACACGACAAAGAAATGACTCGTAAGAGTTATTTGTTTGGGAATCAGCTGGACTACACTGGTCGTGTTTTATGGTTCTAATTGATCAAAAATAAAGACTTAAAAATATTTTTTTCTGGAATCAGTTGGGCCACACTGGTTATGGTAGATGGTTAACAAATGACTTAAAAGAACCATTCATTTTGGGAATTGAACTACACTGGCCATGCAATAAGTTTCAAAAATTAAAACTGTGTCATCATTTTCTCACCTTCATGTTGTTCCAAACCTGTATGACTTACTATATTCAGTAAAACACAAAGGAAGGTATTTTGATTTTCTGTTTTTTTTGTCCATACAAGGAAAGTCAGTGGGGTCCAAACACTAATATATAATAGATATAATAAACAACCCTTTGACTTTCAGTGTATGAACAATAAAAGTTGGGAATTTTTCTAAATATCTTCCTTTATGTTCTACACCAGAAAGTAAGTCATACAAGTTTTTGTATGATTGACATGAGGGTGAGAAAATTACAACAATTTTAATTTTTGGGTAAATTGTCCCAATATTTATGGATAGTTCCCTCATAATGAGCAATAGTAATACAGAGATTTGTGCCTTAGCAGCACCACTAACAAGAGCAGAATAAGACAAGATGCAAATTAGTATTCGTTTTTATCTCAGGACCAAGCATCTGACATGAATTAACGTGAAAAATGGATCAAACCATTTTATATGACATGAATCATTACAAGCTATAAATTAGAAATGTACTACATATGTGACCCTGGACCACAAAACTAGTCATAAGTAGCACGGGTATATTTGTAGCAACAGCCAATAATACATTGTATGGGTCAAAATTATCGATTTTTCTTTTATGCCAAAAGTCATTAGGATATTAAGTAAAGATCATGTTCCATGAAGATATTTTATATATTCCTTCCGTTTTTGCACCCTCAGATTCCAGATTTTCAAATAGTTGTATCTCGGCCAAATATTGTCCTATCCTAACAAACCACACATTAATGGAAATATTATTTATTCAGCTTTCAGATGATCTATAAATCTCAATTTCAAAAAATTGACCCTTATGACTGGTTTTGTGGTCCATGGTCACATATGGTGTGGAGAAAAAACACATATAACATTCCCTTTATAAGATTCCATGGAGGGCCTACAACACAAATAGGGAGCTGTGCCCCTTTAGTGAGGTCGATCTTGCCTCAGGGTAAGTATGCTGTGTGTTACATTTGACTTTTACCACCAAATCATCCTGACTTACTGATTACTTTTCAGATAAATATTTCAGAAGTCTTCCAGTGATGTGCACACACTGAATGCGGGTGGCGTTCCATCAGCAAACAGAGGAGAAAGGAACACAACTCACCTGACCATACTGTGTCTTGGCTGTTTGTTTCAGGAACTCCAAGTCTTTGCACTTCAGGTGATTCTGTGGAAGAAACGCCACAGACAGTTACCTTCAACTGCTTCAGAGTTAGCATAAGGGGGAGGAGATACATGAATGGGTGAGATTGTAATGCTCAACACATGCAGTTACTTTTTATTAAAAGTGACTAAATAGAATAAAGACCACATGAATTATATCAATGCTTATGCTGCTCATTGATTTCCCGTATAATTCAAGTTAAAAGGAGCACATTTCTGGTTTGGTGCCTTCTCGAAGGACAAGAATATGAATTGTAAGGAATATAAAAAGAATTTTAATCCTCTAATCAATAATATTTTTTTAGCGATTCATTTCGTTATTTTGAGGTGCAAATGAAATTCATTTAATACTGAATTTACTAATATGGCAAATTATTTTGTTGATTGATACATTCATTCAGATCATAATAATTATTCTAGATCATATATTATTACTAGGCTACATTTTGTGTCGTCAGTTTTAAATCACTAAAAAGAACTGACTGAAAAGATTCATTCATTTGGAAATCTGACTACTACACTGTTGGGACATTAGAATCTACAGATTCTGTCCTTACCGTTCCTTCTGGGATGCAGATGGCCTGAATGCAGCCGCCTGGTTTAAGAAGTGCATCTTTGATGAACTCAATTTGTGTTGTCTGGAATGCTGTGGTGACATCCACAAGCTGAAAAGAAAAAAACCCTTCAGAAAACACATCAGGAAACAAAGGGAATATAAACTTATTAACAAGACAATTTGCATATAGTTAGTTATTAATGTGTCTTATGGAACATACATAAATATATAAAAAAAAATGTAAACTAAAATAAAAAGTCATTCAAATAAATACATACACTACCATTCAAAGGTTTGAAGTAGAAAAAGGCTCTTATGCGCACAAGGCGTTATTTACTTGACCAAAAATACAGTAAAAACAGCAATATTGTGAAATATTATTACAATTTTAAATAACTATTTCTATTTTCATATATTTTAAAATGTAATTTATTCCTGTGACATCAAATCTGAATTTTCAGCAGTCATTACTCCAGTCTTCAGTGTCACATGATCCTTAAGAAATCATTCTAATAGGCTGATTTGGTGCTCAAGACACTTTTTATTATTAGCAATGCTAAAAAAAAGTTGTGCTGCTTAATATTTTTTTATTTTTTTTAAACCTGTAATACTTTTTTCAGGATTCTTTGATGAATAGAAAATTCAAAAGAACAGCATGTATTTGAAATATACAATTTTCTGTGACATTATACATGTTTTTACTGTCAATTCTATAAGAATTTAATTTATCGATATAATTTAATAAATAATTATGAATTTCTTTAAAAACAAAATCGTACTGACCCCAAACTTTTGAATAGTTGTGTATTTAACATTTATCTATTACTTATCTAAATGCCAAAACATCCCAGATTCAGCAAAAGGCTCTGTAATTCTATGAGCAGAACGGAATGCATTCAGGACGCACAACGGTGTGAGAAAACGTATGACAAGAGATTCCTTTTTAATTGTTGAGCACCGCATGAAAATTTGTGATGTGTGGGGAAACAGGATGCCAGCACAGCGTGACGCCAAGGACGTCCAGCATGCAAACAACCTCATTGATGTCTTACGTCCAATCTAGGATGATGTGTACAAAGAAAGAACGTGCGGTCACCTTCATCCCAAATCTAGTGTCTGGTTTGTCAACTCCGTAGTCTCTCATGGCTTCCTCATAAGTCATGGAGGGAAAAGGAACATTAATCGGTCCTTTGTCCTCTGGCCAGGAGTAATGGATCAAGCCTTCAATCAAACTCATGACTCCCGCCTGGTCTACAAAGGATATTTCGATATCCACCTAGGAGATGTGTCAACAAAACGAGAGAAATGAGGGAAAATGCTTTGTCAACGAAAATTATGACTAAATATCGTCGTCAACGAACCTGTTTCACGTGACGAAAACGAGACGAGACGCAACGTAAATGCTGGTCATGTGACGATGACTATAATTAAATGTATAATGCAATATTGTTGATGAATAAAAACGAGACTAAATGTGGTTTACAAAATAAAAACTATGCTAAAATGTCTCTTCATTTTCGTTGACCAAAACGAGACGAAACAAAATGTTATAACGTTATTTCGTCTCGTTTAGTCGCGTTATTATTATTATTTTGCAGTATTTCTGTTTCCTGTGCCTCACTTCAGGGGCTGCACCAGGTCGCACTGCGCAGACGCAGGCGACGTCACTTCCTCAAGCTCCACTCGCGGGCCGCGGCATTATTTAGAACAGTGTTTCCCAACCGGGGTGTCGACAGCAGGGGTGCCGTGTAAAAAATCATTTTTTTATATTTTTAAATTGCTAAAATGTTCAAAAAAGCAGCTATTATATAATA